ACTTTTTGTTAAATTTATCAACGAGAGAAAACCATTTTTCAACGGACTTGCGAATATTTACTCAATCGTACAATAATATCGATCCCGTAACGACGTGCTCTCGTTATTTCACAACTTCTCAACAATTTTCCAATTCGCGAAAATCGATGGGATGCCGTGGAAATAAAATTCCGAACAATGTTCAACCTTACCATCCTGCAGAAATTATGCGTCCATAATTCGATAATATAATGATCTTTCTCACAATTTCACCAGGAAAATTTCACGCTCATTAAAAATATTATTTTTGCTTTTTACGAATACTATCTTCTTCTATCGTTCTTTCTCTTTATACTTGAAAAGTTTGTTCCAAAAGAGCAGATAAAAACTTCAATCAAACTTCAAGGTATTTTTCGAAGCTTTAAGGATAAATGGATTCCTAGGAATTCTGTTTAAATTTATCTCGCCAAACACTTGAAAGAATCGTGGAAAATTCGCGGAGAAACGGGCTCGAGCAGTCCTTTGTACGAAAAGAAATATTTTTCTCGACAACGGGTGCCGATCCAGCAGCTGAACGTGCTCGTCACTTCCACTCAACAAGAGCCTTAATTACTCCCGCTGCAAATATTTGCATTTCAAGTGGCTTTCGCTTGCCTGCATAATGTTTGACACAGTTGCAGCAACGGAGATGGGCCTGTGTGCTCGAGAATGCCTCCAAGTGCCACGAGTGGCCACTTTGTAACCGCATCACGCACGTGGTCGCCGAAAAAAAAAAAAAAAAAACAAAAAAAAGAAAAAGAAAGAAAAGCGTACAACGACGCAACGACGACGCGTCGTATCGAAGCGAGACGAAATTCCCTTTCGTCGCAGAGAAAAAGAAAATCTCATCAGAGATTGCGCGACTTTTCGATAATCCAAGCTCGTTTCGTTACGTAATTTTGTCCCCTGAAATGTTTTCAATTTTCACGATATGACTTCTCTCAAATCTGTTCGAAGCAGCATTGAAATCCCTTCGAATAATTTCCAAGAGAAACGAATTCGCTTTTGACGAGTTCCGATGGTATAAAGTACGATCGAAACGGAATTTCAACTTCTTAGAGATTTCCATAGAGACGTATATTCGTTCCAAGAGTGGCGGCGCATTCCCTCGTGGAACTGTGGAGCGCTGGCCCGTCGACTGCGATTAAACTTACAAACTCTGTCCCATGCTCGTTGTTATCAATCGCGACGAGTCGTTGAAACGGATCTTTGTCTTTTCACACGGTCGTGCGTCCAAGTATTTTATGATTCTCCGATAATAGATATATCTCTGACTGAAAGTAGGGCGAAATTCGGAAAACAGGCGTTATCGGTATCAGTCGTTCCGTTTGTAATGATATTGTATATCTTCCTATCGATTCACGATAAAACGCACTCGATTGTGGATCCATTCGCTACGTGTCCAAATCGATGTTGGATTAAATTGTTGAAATAATCGTGTATATCTTCTATAAATCGATCAGAAAGCTTCGATCGAGGAACATAAGGAAATTTGTTTAAAACATCGTATCGAGGAATAATTTAAAATCAAACTTCGAGTTCGTCTTAAAACTCTCGGTTTGTTGCATTGTTCCATTCGAGGAAATGGAAAGGGGAATATTTTTTGTGCTCAGAGATAAAAACTCTGGTCGCGATCAGTCGAGGACATCACGTCCACGAGCAAGTATCGCCGCAACAACTTTTGAAAAAAATTTATTCCGCGCTTGGAAAGGGTTTTTTTTATACATATACGGTGAGCTTTCACGAGCAATTTCCCGTGGGCGAGCGAATAACTGCGTGTATCCCATAGGTGTGGGCTCTAACGTTGTTTTAACGCGCCGCTGTCGGGAGAGTTATGCGGACCAACGATAGGAAACAAGATTTTCGTTCGATGATATAAAGATAAAACTGTATAGAAAATTGGCGATATTTCTTTCTCAATCCTTCTTTTGTAACATAACGTTTCATATCTGAACGAAAGATGAATTAAATTACAAAATCATTCAATCACGTTTCAAAGTAATATGGTAATTTTTAGTGCGAAATACAATCGGGAAAAAGTATAAAGTTTTGAGAGAAAAGATGTTGGAGCGATAGCATATTGTGCAACCTTTAAAATGCGCTTTGTTTCGTTTTAATATCTCAATCGGTTGCCGAGATATAACGTTTTAAAGTTACGGCAACGAAAAGGAGATTCCGCAATTCTGGAATGCACGGTGACCTACTTTTTTTCCTGACATGCGTACGTCTTTCCAGGAATCTCGAAAAAAAACTGCTTACTCGCGTCTGTCACTGACCAGCGCACGTGGCGCTAAGTTGAGATAGGTGAGAGCAGGCCTAAGGAGCGAGAGGACCGAGTGTGCGATAAGGACGGCGACAGAAAAAAAAGGGGAAAAATTAGGTTTATCTTCGAACGACGATATCTCGGAAACAGGAAGTCGGATCGAGATCAAACAAAAAGCGTTTTAAAGAGGGAGAATTCGCGCTTCCAATGATCTTAATTTGGTCGATAAAAAGTGGATAGATTCGAAGTTACAGTGGTTTAAAGTTTTGACAATTTTAATAGGATTTGTTGCAGTGTTTAAATAATGGTATGATGGTTTTTATGGTTCTTTTACGAATAATTTTGATCGAAATAATGATAGTTGGTATAATGAACGATGTAGAAAATATTATTTTTAGAAATAATATTATGACAATTCTTTGAGTTTAGTTGAGCAATTTCGATTTCGATAAGAAATTTAAACTTTTTCCGTACAATTCGAAGGGACGAAACGGCAGTTTGATACGACAGATAGGAGCCAAGGGAAGTGATCTTTGTATCGAGTTGTCATTTAATATCACATTCGTGACAAGACGGAAAATAGAATTTCATTCTCAGAGCAATCATAAATAGCAGAAAATAAATTTGCAAAGGAATAATCTGAGACGAGAACTTTGCTAATAAAATGATAAAAATAGACTCAGATGGGAAAGTCAGACGAAAGATACGATTTTATTAGCCATATCATTCAGTCATATAATTTTGTTAGAATTAACATCCGTTCTCTCTCGTCGATTTATTTCGTCTGGAAACTTTTCGTATCTCTGTCTAGCATATTTCATTGAATAATTTCTAGATTTATGAGTGATATTTCCTTTTAAAAAAACACTCGTAAAATAAACCCTAATCATTTGAAAAATAGGTTGAAAGAAGGGTACGATCGAGATTTAAAGTTCAATATTTTGAGAAATTTTTTGGAAAACTTTTTAATTTTATCTTTAAAATTCTAAATAAGTTACGTTAAGGAAATAATTATGTATCAAAAAATTTTATACAAAAATTTTCGTATGTTCGTACTTTTACGTAATTATCACAATCAATCTTTTCTCTGCTCGGTTTTTCATCAACCAAGCTATCATCTAGATAGAGCTTTAAAAACAAACAAAGAGCAAAGTATAACAGCGGATCATCTGTTGCACGCGAAGGATTAATTTCTACTGGCGACAACAAGATCTTGTTTGCAATTTCTTGCCCCTCGGGTATTAGTTCGACGAAATCTTCAGGTCTGAAATTTCGCTCCGGCTTAATTCGCGTACATACACAAACACAGGTATATCTATGACACGCGGGCCTTGCGACTCCAGGGAATCCCAACTTCTGTTATTTCCTTATCTATATATACACAAATCCTCCGGAACTAACAGTACAACAAAATTTATAGTAAAATATTTTTCCCATTAACAATATTCTTCTACTTTTTCCATTTAATAATATTCTTTATTTGTCCCCTTTTTACGTGACAAATAATATCCAATCACTGAAAATGTAAATTTCAAAAAGGAAAAAAAAAAAAATACTTCGATCCAAAAGAAATTTTTTAATTCCAAAATTTAAACGACAAAATTATAAAATTTCGATCAAAGCATATATAGAAAAACCCGAAGAATTTAAATTCAAAAATATTCAATTTAAAATTCCTCCCCTTTCGTGTCAAGAAAGTTTCCATCCTCTAAATTATTCCAAATGTTTCACAACAATATTGCCCGATATAAAAGCGTGATGAAACGACGCAAGTTTGTCAGCATGGAAAGTGAGGAATCCCGAGTATCAAAATTTAATAACCAACCTCCCCCTTGAGATCCTCTGAGCGAAAGCTCGACACCGTAGTTCAACCCTTCGAGGGGTTACCTCATGGAACTTTCAGAATTAATCCGAGTTAACTCGGAAACGACTCTGTTTCTGCTTAGACGAACTTGAAATGCCGTCACCACCGTGCTATCTGACCCCAAGGCTCTCCAGGATTTCCAAGGCAAGCCACCCCAGTCGCGTCTGCTCCCGTCTCCTCCCTTTCCTCTTCTTTTTCTTTTTTCTTTCTTTTTTTTTTTTTACCTCATTTAAGGTTACCGAGTAAGTTACGCTGGACCTCGTTCAAACTTTCTTGAAAAATCGGCGAGTCGAAATTAATTAGCAACAGGGACAACGATCACGGTGCTGGGCCTCCTTTCGCTCGCAATCGAAATTTATTTGCAACTTTTCTCCCCTCTCTCTCTCTCTCTCTTTCTGAAGTATTTCCTCTCCGAGAAGTTGAAAGAAATTAGCGGAGAAAGTTTTAGCCAACACAGCGGTGGTCGAGGTAAAGGAAATAGCGGTAGCTAATTGTAGATCAGAAGCGACGTAATTTGCTGGTCAAGATTTTTACTTTGATCAAATAAAATTGAACTCGGTTGAATTTACTTACTACCCTGTTTTTAGTCGCTTTGGATCGAAGCTTTGATGCCGGGTTCATAAAGCGGGCTTTAATTTTAATATATTCGTCCGGTAAAGAAATTGAATAACAAAATTTCTTTGCCGATTAATCTCCCTTCTCCTTCTTCTTCGAAAGTTCGAAGGATAATAATCACGTTAGGAAGAGATTAGTGTATCGCTCGAATTCCGGATAGAGAAAAAAAGGGGAGGGGGAAGAAAGGAAAAAAGAAAAAAGGAGAAATGAAAATTTCATCGAAATCGATGGGAGACTCACCTTGACCCAGAATTTCTGTTTAAGTTTCCACGGTTATTCAATCACGCTCCCCTGCCGTTCTGGACTTCCCCTTCTGTTTCCACCTTGAATCGCGTTGTCCCCAAGGGTTGTTCAGCCACTTCCTGCAAAAGTCGAACGCAAATCCCTATCAATCTCCGCGACGTAAACGAGAATTCCGCGTTTTAAATGGGAACCAGGGATATTGCCGATGGTTTTTTAAACGCAGCCATTCAATCGTTCACTCGAGTATAATCGTTCCCCCTGCTCTTTATCTAATTAATCGCCCTTTAAAAGGAACATTAAAGACTATATCCTTTAATAAAGTGGGCAAATTTTATCGTCCAATTTAATGACGATATTTTTTTCTTTTTTTTTTTAAATTACTTAACAATCATTGCTCTCGTTGTAATTCCCTTGTTTAATTTCTATATATGATATGAACGCTCGCTATTTTAAACCAAGATAACGAGCGTTTAAACGAACCGTTTAAAATAAATTAACGTTATTTATTCTACGATAAATATAATAATATTATCACATACTATACTATAATTACTATAAATTATAATGTTTATCGATGATAATTGCCGCCTAATTATTTATTATCATTATTCGTTGGAAATATCATTATGATTATTTAATTCTATATACATAAATAGGAAAGATAGAGCTACACGGCGCGATATCGGGATAACAAATTTCTCCAATTCAATTAGGATGTAGGGAAATAAAAGTGGTATGCGCGCATGAATGAAGTGATACCCAATTAACACGGGCTGAGGTGGTTTCGCGCGAAACTTTCGGGCAACGGCAGTCGAGTTCCGAATAACAAACTAATAAGCCTATTAGAGCGGAGGAAACGGCGGAAACGCGGTGTGGCCGACGCGAGTGCGAAGCTAACTCGCATAATTAAATTCTATCTTGAGGCCGAGCGGCGTCGACCACCGCCCACCGAATATTTCCAACCAACGAAAATTAATCGAGCAGCGTTCAATTTGAACTGACTGACTGACTGACTGCAGTTTAATTGCGTGCAAATTTTCCGGGAGGGCGGAAAAGGGGGAAAAAATCGTTCATTCACCCTCCATTATGGCTACGCGATAAAGTTATCGCGTGCAATGCTTTCAAAAATTCACTCGATCTAGTCAATTTTAAATTGGTTCAAATTAAAGTTTGAATAAATAAATTGTGGGATGAAAATATACGAATAATTTATTTAGTTTCAATACTCTTTAGGAACAGTTTTCTTTGATCTATCTTGGAAACACGAGCAGCGAATATAAGTAGGAAAATTCTTTTCTTTTTGACTCTGTTAATATATGAATAATAAATCTCGAATTTTCTTTTTCATCCATATCCAAAGCATAGAAGTTCTTATTATTAAGTAGAAGTTAAAAACTCTTTCTATACGAGCGATACAGATAGAATTACTTTCTCTAACAAATTTATATATTTTTGATTTCAGGTAAATCTTGAAGAGAAATGGCACGGTGATCTGTCTGTATTGAAAGAAGGCAGTCTCGACATCCAACAAAGATAATAACAGAAAGAAAAGAAATTGATTTTCGAAACTGTGAGTCTAGAAACAAGTCTCAGGATCGTTTTACCGGATGTCTATTCGTTGTGTAAGAATGGAAGAATTTAGAAGCGAGTCAGAGCAAACTACAATTTTCCAGGACGTCAACCATATCGACGAAATGATCTCGATAGGTGAGGGGCAGAAAAAGAGTAACCTCCTCCGCTACCTCATCTGCATACTTGCACCCTCACTCCCTCCTCGACCCTCCCTCCCTTATCGAACCTTTCAGCATTCCTTTGCTGTCATATAGCACGAGACATTGGGCGTCGTATGCATGGCTCGTGCCAGTTGGTAACCCCCGTGTAATTCTTTTTTTCGGCAAGAATCGGTTCTCAGGAGATTGGAAAGGTGGAAATGAGATTTCCAGGGGCAATTTGAAGCGAGTTTGTGCCGGTAAAAGGGTCGAGATGAAGGGAGGGGGAGGGGGAGGTCTTGTGACGAAGAAGAGGAGGAAGTCGAGACGGGGTCGAGGGCTGAGATGAGGAGACGGATACACACGGGTAAGAGGGGAAGAGGAGGGGCGAGGGGGAGGGAAAAAAGAAAAGGGAAGAAAGCGCGGAATGAGCTGCTTTATTATGTCTTGGTGGAGAAAATTTATCAGTCATCTTCTCTCTTTGATCTATCCTCCCCCACGCTTAACGTGGTACAATTTCTTTCGAGGAAAAATTAAAAGGAACGAGGTATATAATATTAAGATAGACGT